AGCAGGAACAGTCAGGTGTTAAAGGCAGTGTCCATGCCTAAGTGATCTGCTGGATTGCTGTTTTACACGTTGGGGACGGCGTCATATGTAATGCTTAGATTAAATGGGAGGAGAAAAGGGAGCATTTCTAACATGATTACAGTCAGATTTCCTTTTATGTTTTGCAGAGGAAAATACTATGCAAATGCTGCACGTGCCTACATGGATTCAACCTTTCTTTCCTCTTTTTTGATCTCCCTAGTTCTGACAAACAAGTTGCCCGTGATTACTGAAGAGAAACCCTCCCCAAGGCACCGGGCCATGGGCTCATTTTTTGAGGGGCACTGTGGAATTAGGCAACCCTCTGTTCTCCTGCTTCTGGCTACATTTTCTCACTCCCAATGCTCTCCCTCCAATTGCACCTTGGTGGAGATGAGGTGAATCATGCTTGGGAACTGCGCCAGGGTGAAAATAACTGGGGTGGGGAGAGTGCTGCATTTTCAAAGTAATATCCTGGTTTAGTTGACAACACAACTGCACAAGGAGCTGCAGCAGCACAATGGAGGGAGCACAGCCCAACCGCCCCATCAAAGTGCTGCCAGCAAAAATGATGTCTGCACAGCTGCAGCCTTATTGCCTTGACATTGCTGTGCCAGCAGGGTGAAAAGCAAGAAGTCTGAAGGTGAGTTTCTACTCTCAGCCCACATTTCCCTTTCCCAATCCTTCAGTCTTCTGAGGGATGGGGTGAACAGAGAGCAGCTGGGCACAGAGGCTGAGGCTTCTGGCATGGTGCTGGTCTCTTATTCTCCTGCTGTATTGTCCTGTTCCCAACTCCAGCTTGTGCTGTGTGTTCCCATCTCTGTGCTGAATCCTGCTGCTCCTTTGGTCATGCTGACATACCTCCTTGTGTGTCCATAGTGAAATCAAATCCTGGGAGCAATCCAGCTGCAACCAAAGTATTATACTTCTGGGCTAATTTTGACCTAGATCTCAGCTCCAGCTCCAGTGCACACATCGTGCCAGCCTGGCACAGGGGTTTGCATGCAGGGGAAGGAGAAGGGTCACCAGGCCAAAGGTTTGTTCTGGCAGACTACAGAGCAAACACGACTTGGGAGAACCCAAACAAACTTAGTTTACACAGCCATGGTTATCCTTCAGAGTTAACACTTTATCCAGTGGATTTGGGGAATTTGATCTCTCTCCAAGGCTAGAATCTAGCCATGCAAATTCTGCACCATAGAAGAGATGTGCTGCTGTGAACATCATGCCGTTCACCCACGTGGGACCTGCAAATGTGGAATACTTGAATGCCTTGTACAAGAGACATCCTGAAGCATCCAGATCTGTGAGTTTCCTGCTCAGAGTGGTGTGGGAAGGCTGGGGCAAGACACGCTGCTGAACTGATCATACACTTGTGCAGAAGGCACGTGAGATTTATACGAGCATCTTGTCTCTGCTGTGGTTACTTTCACTACTGCCAGCTGTAGCTTGCAGATCTTTTCCCCAGTGCCCTGTGCATCCATCCAGGCAGCTCATTTTGGAGAACCATGGACAGTAGGTGAGAGTCCTGCTCATGCAGCTTCCAGCCATAATTCACCTACAAAGGCTGATCCATGGCAGTCACTTGCTAGCCTTGTTGGCAGCACCCATATACCTGTCAAAGCATGAGTCTGAGTAGAGGGCCCTAGCAGTTCCTAGCTGGAAGAACTGTGTATAAAAAGGGAGATGAATGCTTAATTTCAGGGTGTCAGGCTGTACTGAGTCATCACCAGATGGAAGATTTGGTTACAAAGTAGACATATATGACTTAATTTTACCTCTGTGTCCTGTACCGTTTTTCATGGCATTACTATTTAATTGCTTGCATTATGCCTATCAATTAATACCATTCAGCATTAGTAATACTTAGTGTTGTGTCTTCAAAGTGCTTTACAAGCTAGTTATGAAATGCATAATTAAAGTGAAAACAAGCACCTTGGGCTCAGACCTGTGCTTGTGTTTGACAAAGCCTGGCAGGTGCCTGTGGTGCTGTGCACGCCGGACCAAGGAGCTGGGGGATTCATGGCAGGGCTAAGGCAGTGGGAAGAGCATGGAGTGATAAGATGGGGCAATGTGGTCAAGCCTCCATTACACCTTTTCTGCTGAACTTGATGGCATGTGGAGGTGTCTCAAAGTGATCAAGAGGTGATTTGAAATAATTCTTCAAGTAACAGAGCTTGACCTTTATATTGCATCTTGAGCAATATTGGACCTTGAGCAACCTGGTCTAGTGGGAGGTGTCTCTGCCCATGCAGGGGGGTTGGAACTAGATGATCTTTAAGGTCCCTTCCAACCTAAACCATTCTATGATTCTATGATCTTCTTGTCTCCTTCCTTTAACACAAGATTGGTATATGTGGCAGTCAAAAGTAATAAGTCAGTCATATTTATGCTTGTTTGCCTTCAAGGACAGGCGTTACAACAGCCACAACACAGAAACTGGGAAACTACAGCACAGCCTGCATGCAGCCCTTTGCCTTCGACGATGTCCATGGAGTATCAAAGACAACTGTGTCACTATAAAACCAGTTATTAATCCTCAATAAAACTAGTAAAAAAGTACACAGGGAGCACTCACGTGTCAATCTGTTGCCAGGACAGCATGAACTGGAGCAGGTGTTTGCCAAGGCAGAGCAGTCAGGTTGTAACCAGCTTTGACTGATGCTTCTGCACGTCATTGTGTTCTTGGGCACCAGCTGAAACAGCACCCAGAAAGGTGCTGCATTCACTTTTGTCTGTAAAATAAAAAAAACCCTCACAGAAAATCAGGGGTCCAAATCTGGCAGAACTTATTTAGACACATCTGTGGGTATAAAGGAAAGCTTGAGTAAGTAGGTACCTTTAGCTTTGTAGCCTTCAATACAGGACCTCAGTTATTTCCACTTTTTAAAGTTGGTGGATGTTTCATCAGGATTGATCGAGGAGAAACCCGATGTATCAGCACAAGCAGGAAGTGGCTTTTGGAAAGTTACATTTTTCTTGGGATACCCAGCTGACCTCTGGGTGTATAAAGCACATCTCAAACCCAATACTTGTATCCTCTCATGCTGTGAGGTCCACAGCCAAATGCTATCCAGTATCAGATGGAACAAATTTAAGATATTCTCTCTTCTCCCCTCCAAAAAAAAACCTGCTCTGAAGTTCTAAAGAACCCCAGTTTGGTCCATGTGCAAATAACTGCCCCTCATTTACCCTTTCAGAGATTTGGCTGGGCAAGGCCAGGTGATGGTGTCCTGGGAGCTGAGGGAAGAGCTTGGACTTGAGAGTGGAACGCAGCAGGTCCTTGGGATCTGTGCATGAGATGAAGGGACCTGAGCTTGGATAGGGCTATAGAGGCTGTTGGAACTGGAGAGGTCTCCTATTTTTGCCCACTTTTATTCCTGATCTTCTAAATTTGACGTGGGGATGCTTCAGACTTGCTACAAGACAAAAGCATTTTATTTATTTGTATCAACTGTGATCACAAACCTTCCCAGACCGGAAAACTGTTCTTATCAACACAAGGGTTTTCTTACTTCCAGCACAACCCTCTATCAAAGCACACAGGCACACAGGGTGCATGGCTTTGCCTGGCTGTTTTAAAGGGGTGGGATGAGCAGCATTATCCCTGTTAGTGCTGGGAGGGAAAACCTCAAGCACGAAAACCAAGCCTGGTGAGGACAGGAGTGTGTGGGGAGCTGGGGCATCCCATGACAGACACAAAACCACGGGGTCAGGGTGGGGTGTTCTGGCAGGGAACTGCTGTCCCTGGGAAGCAGGAATCACAGAATCATGGAATGGTTTTGCAGGGACTTTAAAGACAGCCTATTTCCAACATGCCTGCATGGGCAGGGACACCTCCCGCAAGACCAAGCTCCATCAAACTGGTCCTTGAACACTTCCAGGAATGGGGGGGAATCCACAACTCCTCTGGGGAACCTGTTCCAGTATCTCACCACCCTCATAGCAATTAATTTATTCTTCAGATCTGAATCTACCCTCTTGCTGTTTGAAAAAGTTCCCTCTTGTCCTATCACTACAAGCCCTTGTAAACAGTCACTCCCCAGGTTTCTTCTACCCCATCAGGCACTGGAAGATGCTATAAGGTCTCCCCGGAGCCTTCTCTTCTCCAGGCTGAACAGCCCCAACTCTCAGCCTGTCTTCACAGCAGAGCTGCTCCAGCCCTTGGATCATCTCCGTGGCCTCCTCTGGGTGCAAAGCAACTCCCTCTCCCGCAGCTCCCTGCCCCGCGCTGACACCAAACGCGGCTGCAAGGACCGCCGACGGCCCGGGGAGCCCCCAGAGCCGGGGGGGCGGGGCGGGGGCCGGGGCGGGCCGGGGGGGG